GTCTCTATTAAACTAAGTGTGTCACTAATCCGACACGTCGATTCCATGCTACACATCCGCCTATACCAGGACGCATCAAATAACATTTCCGGCGGAGGAATAGATCCCATCGAACCCCTAGCAAATCCACAGTCCAATCATGAAATAATTTGATAAGAAACACTTACCGGTGGTCAGAGACTTCGGCCATCGAACTCGGATTCGGGTCTGTGTGGTCAGAGACTTCGGCACTCAAACTCGGATTCCAGATGTGGAGGTTGCCGAGGAAAGTGACGCAACGCGTCGACGACATCAAGAACGATCTTTTACGTAAACCCCGGGCCGCCCAACCTTCTCCCTATGTAAGAAAATTAAAGGACATCATAATTCAAATAGCTAAATGGCGATTGCCATTTCAAGAGAGAACTTTTGAGGGGTTTCCATTAGATTAGGAGGCATGAACAAGCAAGTCACTAGACTCCAAGAAGAAAGAGTTATGGAAACTCGAGTATTGCAAACTCAAAATTCAAAACCAACAGTATTGCTAAGTAAAACGACAGGTAACATTCAGCATCTAACGGCTCGATAACCTACTGATTGGATTCACAGTTATAATTTCTTAATATTAAGGAGGTTAGACTCACAGAAGCAGGGCATCGGGAGAAGACACTACAGAACAGGCCTCCGAACAAGATTCATCGGCCGCATAATTGTCAGTAGGACAGGAGGAACTTGGAGACGACCCCAGAGAGTTTACCTGTATGATCGCCGGAGAGTCTGCCGGTACGAACGTCATCCGCCGGAAATTCGGAGAGGAGATTCTCGAGACTAAAATCGGAGATTTCACCGGCAGGTCGAGATTCGTTGGCTCAATTAAAGGAAAGTAGTAACAAAAAATGTAGCTACACGCAATAACCACTACAACTCCGAAAACCACAACAAACCAAGAGGGATCATCTTCCATTGTTNAAACAAAAAAAAAAAAGGGAAAGAGAGAGACGTTTAGAAGCTTGTTCTGTGTTATTACTCGTAATAATGACTGGTTTAATGGACTGGTTTCTTTTCTTTATTACTAATTTGACAATTGACATGATATTTTTTCTTCTCGAGGTAATGGAGTAAATATATATTTTTTATATTATTTTTTGTGATAATATTAAATATTATTAATAACATGTATTTATATCTTTTGGTCTTTCAACCCAAAGGAAGTCGAGAATGAATGAAAAAGAAATCGATCGAGAACAAAGAAGAATTGAATTTAGATTTTATGAAATTTATTTATGTAAAGTCAAATAAAACAAATTTCAGAGTTTTTTGAATTTAAAATAAATATTTAAAATTAAAAACGAATTTACAAGTTATTTTTCGAAAATATAAAATTATTTCCTAAATGTTAAATTTATGGATTTTGAGAACAAAGAAATCGATCGAGAACAAAGAAGAATTGAATTTAGATTTTATGAAATTTATTTATGTAAAGTCAAATAAAACAAATTTCAGAGTTTTTTGAATTTAAAATAAATATTTAAAATTAAAAACGAATTTACAAGTTATTTTTCGAAAATATAAAATTATTTCCTAAATGTTAAATTTATGGATTTTGAGAACAAAGAAATCGATCGAGAACA